AGGCTGGTCTTGAACTCCTGACCTAAAGTGATCCACCTGCCTCAGCCTCCCAGAATGCTGGGATTACAGGCGTGAGCCACCGCACCACCCGACAGTGTCATTGTCAATGGCTGTGTGGCATGCCCTCCTATCCAGTCTTAAGCAAGGTTGTGACGTTTACATTCTTGTAGCGGAATGTTCACATCCATTTTTAAGGAAATGTAATTTGACAGGTTTTGCCAGGCAGGGCCTGAGGAGAAGGGGAGAGGGGACTCCTTGGGAGATGTGTTCTTAGAAGCCAGTGCTGTGAGCTCAGCTCTGGGGCAGACTCTTGAGTACAGGCTCCTGGGCTCCTGCTGTGAAGGCCTCACTCAGCGGTCTGTGCTGGGGCTCACTAACAGGGGAAGGATGGAGGCTTTTTCTCTTTCTTTCTCCTCTCCTGGGTTCCTCATGTATTCAGTTGTCTTTGAAAACTGGTAGCAGGTGAGGATATTTCAGCACCTGCCGACAGGGCCCCTGAAGCTGGACCTTGAGAGAGAGAATCCGGGAGTTGCCTGAGCTATTTGAGTGATGCTCCCTGGTGTGTGATCCTCAAGGTCAAGGTGAAAATTACATCTAGAGACACTCACGGAGTTGGTTCAGAAGTTCTAAGTCTTTGCTGCGACACACACATTCCTGTGAGTCCTTGGAGGAAACAGCCAATTCTTTTCTAAGAGTGAAAAAGGAAAAATTTCAAGTATAAAGGAATGTTTCAGTGCCCACACAGGCTAGAAATCGAGAATGTTCGTGCCCAAAGTAAAAAGACAGTTCTTGGCTGGGAGGGGAGCAGAAGTGCCAGCCCTCAGGGTGTCCTGAATATCATTGAACAGTCTTTGCCAAAGTGTCCTTGAAGTGACATTCTTGAGTGCCTTTGGAGGTGTGCTCTGTGGGTCACGGTCTTTAAGCTCACTCACTTTTGATTTCCTTTTTCAATTCTTGAAGAATAATGGAAAAAGAAGGGCCAGGTGGAGGACTTCCGCCTAAGGGCAAAGCCAGACTCTTGGGAAGGGTCTGGCTTTTACCCTCCCCGACTCATACCCTCCCTGCTTTCCACTCTCCCTGACTCCCACCCTCCCCGACTCCCACCCACCCTGACTCCCACCCACCCTGACTCCCACCCTCTCCGACTCTCACCCTCCCCGACTCTCACCCTGACTCCCACCCTCCCCGACACCCACTCACCCTGACTCCCACCCTCCGTGACTCCCACCGCCACGCTCCCTGACACCCACCCTCCCCAACTCCCAATCTCCCCGACTCCCACTCTCCCTGACTCCAACTCTCCCTTTGTTCCCACTCTGCTTGGGACAAAGGTTTTCTGTGCCACTTGCTTCTGGCTGCTTTTACCAGTCATGCTTAGGCTTCGGTGGCACATGTGACTGCAGGAGATCAGAGGACGGTGGGCCCTTGGCTGTTAGAGAGAACAGACAGCATGCTTTGCTGGGGAGAAGCTGGTCTGCAATACCATGCTCTGTATTTATGGAGGAGATTGAACAGCAGCTTGTCCCTGGCTCGCTTTCATAAAGAGAACAGTGACAGATGGTGAGTTCTGTGTATGAATGGGGCACTTGGAGTCTTTATGGGATCCTCCCCTCCAAGTAAAATTCCTTCCTCCTGGTGAGTCCTGAGTGGATAGTGTGTGATGCTTTCATCTGCTGGCTGGCTGTTAGGATTGCCTGTTGAATTCATTTAAAAAGAACACAACTCATTTTCCTGTTGCTACATCTGTATCTGACTGGGTAGACTTGAGGGTGTCTTTCAGTTTTGGAGACTAGATTTGGAGGTCCCCATGACCTAGATAATTTCCAGCTTGTGTGTCGGTCATGATGCCCGAGTCAGAGCGTCATCTCCACCATCTCCAGTGAGATGGTGTCCCTGGAATGTCAGAGAGTGAAAGTTTGGCCAGAAAATGCCCTCCCGTGGCGGGAACGCAGCCTTCTGCATTTTCTCAGCCCCGCCACTGGGTTTGGGAAGCTGCATTCCTGCGGTTCCCTTTCCATCCAGACGCCGGCTTTACCTGCTTCATTCGTGATCCCCGCTCTGTCGTGCTCAGCTATTCACAGAACCAGCATCAACTCCATTAATAGTCCTAATAATAAAGCCCCTCAGATGTCAATACTTGACCCTCATGTGTCAGGATACTCCCCAGTAGCCATCATGCCACCCAAATAAATAAAAAAGACTGTCACTCTCACAAAAGCCCCTTAGAGCAGGTTAGCACCTTAGGACCAGAAAAGGGGCCTGATGAGGCACCCGGAGCCCTTCCCTGCAGAGCTACTGAGGAGGGGCGGAAGAGGCCGAGCCGCACACTGGGTGGCGGCAGGTGGTGAAGGTGGGCCTGGGGGCCTGTGTCTTGGCTCTGGGTCTTGCTCTTCCACTGTGCCTCTGATCCTGCTGTGTCAGCATCTGTTGGCCTCCTGCCGTCTCCCTGGTGTCTGTGCCCATTGTAGAGGTACAGGCACATCACATGCTGCTGTGAGCCTGGGGCCAGGGCAGGTTCACCCGGGGCCTGCAGGGACTAGCCCAGAGTACTGGGAGAGGCTAGTGAACCTGTGTTGACGGAACCTCCAGATGACTTTATCTGTTGGTTTCATGTTAGACGGTCCCAAATGTGAGCACCTGTCTCCCACCCCACTGCTTTATCATTTGTGGTCACTCTTTTGGCTGTCCCCTCCTCAAAGGAGAGCAGGCAGGTGCACGGAGGCTTTCAGGAGGCACAGAGCCCAAACATCCCATTTCAGTTGCTCACAGGCGAGATCTCAGAAGCTCATTCATGGAGCAGCAGGAAGAAGCAGGGTGGGTGGATTCCTAGCGAGGGCCTGATACTTGCAGATGAACTCATTGTGCAGATAGGATTTTTCACTTGTGTATTACATGTGTTTGAGTGGCTTTTATTTCTTTAAAATCATGGTGAAAATACGTCCTGGTGTAGCTGTGTGCATGGTTCTTGGCGTACCCCTGGCGGGGATTTGCAGTGGAATTGTGGGATTATTGAATCATGGAGGCATGTTGGGATTGTGGTGCATTAGAGGTAGGGTTTTTGATGTAATTTTTGAAAAAAGAAGGTGATAAAAGTTGTGGACAGATGTTTCCTTCTGGTAGTTACTCCCTCTCTCTCCTTTCTACTTCTATGAGAGTGGAGAATCCCTTGCAGGAAAATACCTGGTGTTAAGCTGGGCATGGTGTTGCGGGCCTGTAATCCCAGCTACTTGAGAGCCTGAGGTGGGAGGATCACTTGAGCCATGGAATTTGAGGCTATACAGTGCCATGATTTTGCCTGTGAACAGCCATAGCACTCCAGCCTGGGCAACATAGTGAGACTTCTCTCTTAAAAAAAAAAAAAAAGTACCTCGTGTTGATGAACCCTATGAAGGGTTTACTTTGCATGGTAAGGGGAGGCGTGGGTGTGGCCCCTGCACAGTAGCTCAGTGATATTTGTCAAAGGCGGGTGGGTACATGCTATGGTTTTGACATGAGTCCACATGTTAATCTACTCACAAATGATAGACTGTGTTTATTAGCAGACCGTGTTTATTGATTTGGGAAGAACGGGCTTTTCCTCCCAGTACGCAGAGCCGTATATCTGTGGCATTATTTCGCCTCATTGGACCCTTCCTTCTAGCGGAGTGGGAGCTCACCATCTCTGCTTCCTGGCTTTGGCGCCCACTGTCTAGGGTGGGGCTTGGCACCAGCTGGGAGTTCACTGCATATGTAGGATGCAACTGTTTAGGCAGGAAGAAAGGCATAACCAAATACTGTTCAGTGTGTACTTTTTAAGATGGCTTATTTATTTGCCACTTTGAAAACAGGATGTGTTAACTAAGAAAGCTACATACAGTGTCCTTGATGCTTCCTTTTCAATTCTGTATCACGTGGTGGTGCTTGATGGTAGTTGGTGGTGATGGTTGTACTTGGTGGTGTTGGTGCTTGATGGTGATGGTGGTGGTACTTGGTGGTGGTGGTGCTTGGTGTTGCTTGGTGGTGGTGGTGGTGGTACTTGGTGGTATTGGTGCTTGGTGGTGGTGGTGGTACCTGGTGGTGGTGGTGGTGGTACTTGGTGGTGGTAGTACTTGGTGGTATTGGTCTTGGTGGTCGTGGGGTGCTTAGTGATACTTGGTGGTGGTGGTGGTACTTGGTGGTGTTGGTGCTTGGTGGTGGTGGTAGTAATTGTGGTGGTGGTGGTACTTGGTGGTGGTACTTGGTGGTGGTGGTACTTGGTGTTGGTGCTTGGTGGTGGTGGTGGTGGCAGCAGTGGCGATGATGATGCTTGGTGGTATTGGTGGTAGTTGTTCATTTTTTTTGAATGGTGGTTAGGATCTTCCAAATTGCTTGCAATGTGGGTCTGGACTGCAGTTTGAAAACACAGGTTTGGTGAATAGTTGAAGCTGAGGGTAGGCTGACCCTGAGGGGCCAGGGAGGGACTCTGGTTTTCTTTTGGTCTGTGGGTATCTTGTCACAGGCCTCACTGGGCAGAGCAATAGCAGCTGGGCAGGGACAGGCAGCCTCAGCCCCTGAGGGTTTAGGTCAGAGCACCACTGCCATGAGTGGCCCCTGGACCTTGCAGGGAAGTTCTTTGGGAGTTGGATGCTCCTGTCTCAACAGGCAGTTTTGATCCAGAGGGAAGAACCCTAGACCAGCAGTCTGTGTGCCTGACTCAAGTCCTGGTTCTGCTGCGAATTACGCCACCTGTCTGCCTCAGGTTTTCCATAGGGTGGTTGTGAGGCCCAGGTGAAGAAATGCATGGGAAGCAGCGAGGGCACACCACCAACTCAGCAGCCTTTATTCTGCTGCGTTCCCCTGGAGTGTCCAGAATCATGTGGAGTCTCCCTTGAGCGCTGGGCCCTTTCTTTCTTTTTTCTTTTTTTTAGCAGAAGGGGAGATCAGTGAAAAAAACCAGGCTTCTGGACCTTCTGCCCAGAGTTTGGTGTGGAGTTGGTAGTGTGGGTCTGGAGCCTCTCCTGACTTGGCCTCCTCTCTTCCAGCCCTGAAGGATGGCTGCCATACTAGGAGACACCATCATGGTGGCCAAAGGCCTTGCCAAGCTGACCCAGGCAGCTGTGGAAACCCACCTGCAGCACTTGGGCATTGGAGGGGAGCTGATCATGGCGGCCCGGGCCCTGCAGTCCACGGCTATGGAGCAGATTGGCATGTTCTTGGGGAAAGTGCAGGTAAGGGGGCCCTGCAGTGGGAGGGGTGCTGGCGGGAAAAGGGTGGGATCTGGAACTCTTGGGGAGACCAAGGGCCGTCACCATGGCAACCGGTCTGTGGTGGCCAGAGTCTGAGGGCCCACCAGCTAATGTGTCCCACACAGTCCTTCCAGGGCGGGCAGGGCCCCTGTGTGAGGCAGTGGCCACTATAACAGAATTCCATAGACTGGTGGCTCAAACCACACACATTTATTTCTCACAGTTCTAGAGGCTGGAAAGTTCGAGATTAAGGTGCCAGGAGATTCAGAGTCTGTGAAGGCCCGTCTTCTAATCTGTAGATGGCCAGCTTCTCACTGTGTCCTTGTGGGGCGGGAGCAGGCCAGGGCTGCTCTCTAGGGTCTCTGCTATGAGGGCACCAATCCCATCCTCATGACTTGATTACTTCCCAAAGGCCCCACCTCCCAACACCATCACACTAGGGGCTGGGTTTCAACCCGTGCAGTTTGGAGACACACACATGCCGTTTTTCCCTGGGCCCGTGTGTCCATCAGCCTGACTCGGCCTTTGAAGGTCCATCAGCCTGACTCGGCCTTCGAAGGTCCATCAGCCTGACTCGGCCTTCAAAGACACTTCCCACTGAGCCTGCTGAGGCTCCGCCAAAGCCCCGCCTCATTTTTCTCCTTTAGTTTGCTGAGGGTCTCTGGGTTCCTGACTGGGGGCTCTCCTTTCTTGGGTGGCAGCTGGCACAGTCCTGCCAAGAGCAGTTTCATCTCTAGCTTCTCTCTCATCCCTGTGCCATCTGGGGGAGGAGATGACCTTTTGTGCTGAGATCTAAGAAGCCTCGACGTCTTACCTCCAATGGATGGTTTTCAGTGAAATCGTGTGCTGGAGAGGTGACTGTAAACAGGGCTGGCTACAGCAGAGCACTGCCCACCATGATGTCACCCTGCACAGTCGCCAGCAACTTCCCTGACAGTCCAGGAGACGGGGTGGGCGGTGTTTGTATGCCTGTGGCGTGCACTCACCTGTGTGTGCTTGGGCATGTGTGTTGGAGGTTGTGTTGCAGCCTCTGTCCTTCCATGTCTGTTCTGTGGTTGGCTGACTTGTAAACAAAGGTCCTGCTCTCCTGCAGGCTGTGCGGCTGTCATAGCCCCCAGGCGTCTCAATCTCAGGTTAAGGACCTGCAGGCTCTTCCCCGCCACACTGGGAGGATCCCGCGGCGATACAGCGGCTCTCACTGAGCGTGCTTGCCTTTAATGTTCGGGAGTCCTCAGACCTATGCTCTCCTCCAAGCCTCACCACTGTCCTGGGACGGGGGCCAGCCTGGACCATCACCCCCATTTCTCAGATGAGGAAACTGAGAAGAAGCAATTTGCTTCAGAACCTATGACAATGAGTGACAGGACCAGATTCCTTGTCCCCTCCCAGCCTGGACTCCGTGCTCTTGCCCTCCTCCTGCCTGGTTCGGTGGAGTGCTGGGCCTTGAACTCCCTCTTGGGTCTTTTGCCTGTGGGACACTCAGAAAGTGAGGTTGTCCAGCTCACTTGGGCCCGCCCAGAAGTGAGACACATGGGCAGGCCCTCGCTGTAATGGGCAGTAGGGCCTCCTGCTCAGGCACTCTCCAACCGTCTGCTCCCACAGCGTGTCTGGAAGGGGCAGGGCCTGCCCATCAGCCACTTGGAGGAAGGGTGAGTGATGAACCACGCCACCCAGGAGGCTCCAGAGCTGGGTGGCTGCCCACAGCGTGCTGCCATTCACTCCCTCACAGCTTCCCTTTTTGGTGCCTCCCATCTCGCTGAGGGGAGGAAGGTCACGGACTCCAGGAACCTGTCTCCCTCCAGCCCTTGAGGTTGTTCTCTCATTCATTCAGCAGACACTTACTGAGCCCAGGTCCTTTTGGGGCCCTGGGGAACCCCCACTACCCTTGGGCGTCCGCAGCAACACCGACAGGTCTTAATAGCACAGGGCCGGGGGCCATCATGGGAGGGATAGGCAGAAGGGCAGAAAGAGGGCCCTGCCTGGGCTCCCTCACTGGCAAGGTTTCCCCAGCCATCTGGGAGGGGCTCTGTGAATCTTCTGTGTTTTTTGTTGTTTTTTTTTGAGATGGAGTCTTGCTCTGTCACCCAGGCTGGGGTGCAGCAGTGCAATCTCGGCTCACTGCAACCTCCGCCTCCCAGGTTCAAGTGATTCTCTTGCCTCAGTCTCTCCAGTAGCTGGAATTACAGGTGCCAGCCACCACACCCGGCTAATTTTTGTATTTCTAGTAGAGATGGGGTTTTCACCTTGTTGGCTAGGCTGGTCTTGAACTCCTGACCTCAGGTGATCTGCCTGCCTCAGCCTCCCAAAGTGCTGGGATTACAAGTGTGAGCCACTGCGTCTGGCCTAAATACACAACTTCTTTTACTCTGAGAAAAGTGCTGCAGCCATCAGGGCCAGCCTGGGTGTTGGATCCCAGCTCTGTCATTTGCTGCCGGGTGATCTTCACCAGTACATTAGCCGTCTTTGCCTCAGTTTTCTGTATTTGAAGTGAGCGTAACAGCCTCTCTCTCCTTCGAATCCTATGACGTCTTAGACAGCAGAGTGAGAGGGCTTGGGTCTCCTGCTGTCTGCATAGCCTGCAGGCAGCACGCAGCCGCTGGTGCATTTCATTGGCTTCAGCTGATGCCGGGAGTCCAGGCCATTGGTCTCCCTCCAGAAGCTGCTGCTGTTCTCATTATAGGCTCCTGGGTGCTGTTTCCTGGCTCTGTCTGTGGCCTCCGGTAACTCTGTGGCTGTGAGGAGCCCTATTTTCAGATGAGGAAGTAGCAGAGAAGGGTCAGGAGCTCACTCAAGGTCACTGCTGGTTCAGAAGCAGGACACGGGCTGAAGCTCAGGCCTTGGTGACCATTACAAAGAAAACGTGGTGTATCATCTCCCCTCCCCCTCCATTTCCCTGTACCCTGAGCTGTTAGGGGCGGCTAGGCCTGGTCCTGGTTGTGACCACCTCTCCAGTGAGACTCTCTTACCTGCATGCCCCTGGCTGGCGGGTGGCATCTGTGTCTGCAGAGAGCTGTAGGCTTAGGTGGGCCCATGGGTGTGCTTCCCTCTCCCCTGGCCAGCCTTAGGCTGTGTGTTCACCTCTCAGAGACTTCATGGGCTTTTGCCCTGACTTACCCTCTCCAAAGCCCTGGAGGCCTCCCTGGCTGTTTTATAGGTGAGGAACTCGCTGCAGGTGTGGTATGCACCTGGCCTGGCCCCAGCTGGGCACATAAATGTTCCGTGTCCCACCTAGGATCACACAGCAGAGCCCCAGCAGAAGCAGGGCTGGAGCCCAGGCCTCAGCTCCCAGGCTGGGAAGGGTGCGGGGCCGCGGGTGCAGCACTGTGTCACCTCTGGAGGGGGAGGGGGCGGGATGCCGGTGGTGTGCTGTCCCAGGCAGCAGGGGACAGGCAGGCGGGAGCTCCTGGCTCACTCTTGCTCTCCTCATGCCGGCCTTTGCTCCCTGCAGGGTCAGGATAAACGTGAAGAATCTTTTGCTGAGAACTTCGACGGCCCAGAAGGGGAGTTCCACTTCTCAGTCCCGCAGGCAGCCGGAGCCTCCACAGACTTCTCTGCAGCTTCCACTCCCGACCACTCGACTCCACCCCTGGATCATGCCCACAGCGAGGGCCCAGCTCCTGCCTACATGGCCAGTGGACCCTTTAGGGAAGCTAGGTTCCCCGGCCAGGCTGCCTACCCTCTGGGCAGGGTAAACGGGAGGCTCTTTGCAAACCCCAAAGACTCATTCTCTGTCATGGGCTTTCAGCAAAGGTTCTTTCACCAGGACCAGTCCCCTGTGGGGGGCCTCACAGCTGAGGACATCGAGAAGGCCCGGCAGGCCAAGGCTCGTCCCGAGAACAAGCAGCACAAACAGATGGTGCGTCTAGGAGGCCCCCGGAGGCCGAGGCTGCTCCCACCACAGCAGCGCTGGCCTTGGGCCCTGCTCTAGGGACTTTCCCTGGGTGCTGTGGTCTGGGGTTTTAGGAGCGCAGAGGCCGCCTCTTGGTGGAGTGTGCCTTCAGGCGGAACTGCTTCCTGTGGGGTGGAGAGGTGTGGGGGCAGTGGGGGCCTCTGAAGGTTGGTCCTGTCCCCTTGGCTGATTCCACAGGTCTCTTTCTCATCTCCCTCCAGCTCAGCGAGCATGCTCGGGAGCGGAAGGTGCCCGTGACGAGGATTGGGCGGCTGGCCAACTTTGGAGGTAAGGCGACCGCGTCACCTGTCCTGCCCTGCCAGGCCCTGCCAAGTGGAGTTGGAACCACACTGAGGCCTGCATGGAGGCGGGGATCTAGCAATGTCCCAGGGAGGGTGCTGTGGGAGCGGGTGGCAGTGGCTGCCCTGTGTGAGCTGTTGTAGTGTAGAGTTCTCCATGGGAGGAGGATCCAGTTGTTGGATTCCAGCTCTGCGTGGCTCTCCCCTGCGGGTGGGTCTGTGGTTGATGCTGTGCCAGGGGCTGAGCTCAGACTGCTCGTCAGGCGTTGCTTGGGGGGCGGTATCTGCCCCATCACCTTTCCACCCCTGCGCACCACCAGTCGGCTGCTTTGGAGGCCTCTCAGGAAGGAGGCTGGGCAGTGAGGACAAGCTCTTCCCTGGGGCTGCTCAGCAACTCAGCAGGGCTTTCTTTCCCTTGGGACCAGACATTTAGGGATCCCATTTGCTGGGTCCCCACAGGCCTGTGGCTCCTGAGTGGACTGACGAGATGCTGTGGTCTCCAGCTGCTGCTGGTTAAAGCCGTTTTGTGTACTTTAGTGTTGGGAGCTCTGCGTGTGCTTTTCTTTGGGGGTTGAGTAGTCATTGTGCCCGGGGCATGTGCGGTCTTTTGATACGAGTTGAAGGGTGACTTTCTAGTGAGGGTCTATAGCAGTTGTGTCTGCTCTGATGATGTCATGTTTGCCATGTCTGTTGCTAGTTCGCTGGCCAAGATGTTCCTGTTAAAGTGCCATGTCCTTTGCCGTGGTACACTCTAAGTTACTGGGATTGCATTTCTTTAAAGCTCAGCTGTCCTCAGTAGGTTCTCCAGGTGATATAATTAACGCAAGCCACAGTTTTGGCAGCTTGATTCTGACCCTGACCTTGGGTGAGTGGTTAGTTGCAGGGCTGTAGGCCGCCGAGGTCTGAGTGGTCCATGACGGTGCTGGTGCTGGGTTGGTCATGGAGATGCACTCTCGTGGGTCTGCCTGTTGCTTGGGCTGCTTTCTGTTGCTCCTCCTGTACAGCATCCATCATTCATGCTGTTCTCCACTGCTGCCTCTTTTCTTCTGGAAACCCCATCCTACCTGTTCAAGACTGGTCTGGGTAGAGGCTTATGTACTGTGTTCCCCGAGAGCCTGGTATTCTGGAAGCTGGTGATGTGTGGGTTCTGAGCATGAATGATGGCTGGCCCCTTTCCAAGGTGCCTAGCAGACTTGGTTAACTGGATAGAATTTTGTCAACTGTAAGGTTTTCTTTCATGACCATTACCTTAACATTTGGCATCCACTGCTGCTTAGCCATGGACGAAGTGCCATCTCTGTGATAATTAGTCATCTGTCTGATAATAATGAGTAGACACTTCATAACCAGTATGAAGTGTCGTCTATGTGACAGCACAAGAGTTTTGCTTATTTCCCTTTCCTGGAGTAGCATTTCAAGCAGTTCTTCATAGAGTATCATACCTTCTTGGGTTCTGCTGTCAGAATGAGTTTCAGAATCGCTGTCCTGGTGGCGTCTAATGGTCCTTATCCCCTGGAAGATGTGGCATGTTACCTGCTTTGCACATTGGCTTGTCATTGGAAAACATGTAGTATTTCTTATTAAAATATTGAATGGAGGCTGTCTTTTCTCCCATGATTTTGAGGCTGTCTTTTCTCACTCGCAGAGTGAGACTACTACCCTGTTTTCACGTTGGTAGCTTTTCTCTGTCCTCTTCCTCTTCCCTTCACTCTAGACAGGTGAGCCTGTCCCCGGAAGGCTGAGTTTGACGTGTTTCAGGATTGGTGCAGTCCTCGAGTGGGAGTCTTTGTCGGGTGGGGAGAAGTGGTGGATGTAATGCAGTAATGTGGGGTGGGGAGAAGTGGTGGGGGTAATGCAGGCTGTTTGGGAGAAGGTGGGGGTAATGCAGGCTGTTTGGGAGAAGGTGGGGGTAATGCAGGCTGTTTGGGAGAAGGTGGGGGTAATGCAGGCTCTTTGGGAGAGGTGGTGGGGGTAATGCCGGCTGTTTGGGAGAGGTGGTGGGGGTAATGCGGGCTCTTTGGGAGAGGTGGTGGGGGTAATGCGGGCTCTTTGGGAGAAGTGGTGGGGGTAATGCGGGCTCTTTGGGAGAGGTGGTGGGGGTAATGCCGGCTGTTTGGGAGAGGTGGTGGGGGTAATGCAGGCTCTTTGGGAGAGGTGGTGGGGGTAATGCGGGCTCTTTGGGAGAAGTGGTGAAGGTAATGCAGGCTGCTTGGGAGAAGTGGTGAAGGTAATGCATGCTGTTTGGGAGAAGTGGTCAAAATGAAAGTGTTGACGGGGAATTAGAATCCGGTGGGGCACTGTGAAGTCCTGGGGAAGCAGGCAGAGGTCAGACCCTTTTGGGTGATGGATTAAGGAGCACAGAACACAGAGACTGATGTGAAGGGGTTGCATATAGGAAGATGTGTAGGCAAAGAAAAGTGGAGGGCTCTTCTCAGAGGGTGGGGGTTATGGGCAGCCAGAGGAGCCAGGGTTAGCGTTGCTGAAGCCCTGGTCTTAGGTGCTTTGTAGCATCAGAAGCCTCTCGAGCCTTTGCTGATACCTGCCTGATAGATGGCACCTTCTGTGGGTGTCTGTGTGCTGGAGAATTGCCCACAGCTATGATTCAGAGACGCTCACGTTGTTGCCCAAGCAATTGGCAGGTGATGTTTCAGGCTTGGAGGTGGCAGGATGGGAGCAAACAGAAGCCAGGTCAGAAAATAACGTGCCATTCTGGCCCTAGTGGGGAATTCTGGGCCTTCTGCCTCACCTAGAGGCTTTCAAACTATAGGTTATGACCCTTTGGTAAGTGTGAAATCAATTTAATGGGTCAGAATCAGCATATAAAAAACAAGTTAACTGTAATCTCAGCACTTTGAGAGCCCATGGTGAGAGGATCACCTGAGTTCAGGAGTTTGAGACCAGCCTGGCCAACATGGTGAAACCCTGTTCCTACTAAAAAAAAAATACAAAAATTAGCCAGGTGTGGTGGCGCGTGCCTGTAATCCCAGCTACTCAGGAGGCTGAGGCAGGAGAATTGCTTGAATCCAGGAGGCGGAGGTTGCGGTGAGCCGAGATCACGTTACTGCACTCCAGCAGGGGCAGCAAAGTGAAACTCTGTCTCAAACAAAAACAAGTTAAACAGAATGGAATAGATCAGAATGAATATCATACATCCATAGAAAGAACTGTATACATGGCAAGATATTTTAGTTTCAGAGACATAAACATACTATTTAAGTATGTTCTTCACTGCGGTGTGAAATGTGCAGCTTCCCGGTGGGACACTGTCCAAACAATTTGCGGTAGCACTGCTCTACTTTGTTCTCCTAGAAAATACTTCCAGCCTTTCTTCCCTTCATGGAGGAAAGGTGATGTATTTCTTTTTCTTTTCTTTCTTTTTTTTTGTTTTTGAGGTGGAGTTTTGCTCTTGTTGCCCAGGTTGGAGTGCAATGGCGCAGTCTTGGCTCACCACAACCTCTGGTTTGTAATTCTGTCTCAGCCTGCCAAGTTGCTGGGATTACAGGCATGCGCCACCATGCCTGGCTCATTTTTGTATTTTTAGTAGAGATGAGGTTTCTCCATGTTGGTCAGGCTGGTCTCGAACTCCCTACCTCAGGTGATCTGCCTGCCTTGGCCTCCCAGAATGCTGGGATTATAGGCATGCGCAACCATGCCGGGCTGGAAAGGTGTTTTTAAGGCGCAGACTGGCAGACTGTGGGAAGTTTTTACACTGGGGTTATGAGGTAAAGGGATTGCTGTAGGTCTCAGGGAGGTAGGGCTGCTACAGGGACCCATCTTAGCGAGGTTAGCAGTGGATATTCAGCTGAATAGAAGTGGAAGTTAAGGGCTTTCCAATTCCAGGGGCTCATTTTGATGAGCCTACATCCTGGCCTCAAGTGATCCACCTGCCTCAGCCTTCTGAAGTGCTGGGATTACAGGCATGAGCTGCCTGCCGTACCTGGCCCTCATGTGTCTCTTAACAGCAAGGATTCAGTCTGAGAAGTATGTCATTAGGCAGTTTCATCGTTGTGTGAACATTGTAGTGTGTGCTTACACATACAGGACATGCTGACTGTGATGCTATGGGCAGGATGGCCTGGGGATATTAGATTTTATTAAAGAGTGGTGTGAAAGGAAGGGTCATGTATTAGATATGGGGTCAGAACTGAACTTTGGGCCATGATAATAGCTGGCCTTTAATGACAGCTCTGCTTCCAGTGTGACCTTTGGCCTACCTGGGTTTTCTCTTTTGTGAAATAAGGGTCTTGCCATTGATGGTAAATGGGAATATTTTGGTGAGTGTTTTATGTTTACCTGATGATAACTCATGTTGAGTGCAGTGATCTGTCTATCTAGTCTGGTTTATTATTCATATCGATCAGATTTTTAAGTGAGGTTTTTTTTTTTGTTTGCTTATTCAATAACTATCCAGAGAGGCATTAAAAAGTCTGATATGATTGTGAATTTACCTACTTTTAGTCTGTTGACTTGTGCTTTATATGGGTTGAAGCTATGTTATTTGCTGCCTACAGATTTAGAATTATTTATATATGTATGTATGTATTTATTTTTGAGATGGAGTTTCGCTGTTGTCGCCCAGGCTGGGGTGCAATGGCATGATCTTGGCTCACTGCAACCTTCACCTCCCAAGTTCAAGTGATTCTCAGCCTCCTGAGTAGCTGGGATTACAGGTGCACACCATCACACTCAGCTAATTTTTGTATTTTTAGTAGAGACTGGGTTTTGCCATATTGGCCAGGCTGATCTCAAACTACTGACCTCAGGTGATCCACCTGCCTTGGCCTCCCAAAGTGCTGGGATTATAGGCGTGAGCCACTGCATCCAGCCTAGTTTTTATTTTTGTGAAAATGTCATTGTACCTTGTTTTAAAAGGTATTTTTGCTGGGTAGAGTATTCCATGTTGAAAATATGTTTCATTTGATCACTTTAATAATATTCCTCTATTGTTTATTACTTTAATTATTTTTTTGAAAATGTGGCTATCAGTTT